TACTACTAATAATAATACAGTATAATAATAATAATAATAATACTATTAGATCTCCTCTAAATGAAATTTCGTTGTAACCATCAATTCTTGCTGATGACACTGTTCAGACTCTCCGTTCAGTAGCCGCCTCATTGCTTTTCTTGCCGCGTTCATTAACTTTCCAACAGGGAGGCCTTCCTTTAATCAATAGCATTAAGTACCATGTAAAATAGCAGACAATTCAATCTACTTCAAAAAGTCTCTTATTAAGGTGGGTGACAACATAGACTCAAAAGATGAAAAATATGTGGTCATTACGGAAATATTACTACGTTCATGGCAGAACTTGTTATCAGAAAATCTTTCGTCAATGCAGACGAACCTCACCACTGAATTGCACAGTTTTTTCGCTACCTGACGTAAAGACTGAACTCACAAATTCGCCAGATATATGCAGGATATCAATCAATCCAACAGTCGTTTAAACCGGTTCAATCTGTAATCTGGCACTAATTTCCACTATATTACCATTACTATGACTATTATTACATCTCATAGGAGTTTTCCTCCAACTGCTTTCTTTTACATCATATTTCTTGCTTTTTTTTCTTTCTGAAAAACGTCCATTCTTCTTTCATTAATACTACTACTATTACTACTAACGATACTACTACTACTACATCTTCTTCTTCTTCGTCTACTACTACTACTACTACTACTACTACAATCATATTACTACTACTATTATATCACATGGGAGTTCTCATACAACTGCTTTTCTTTACAACCTATTCCTTGCTTTTTTCTTTCTCTAAAACGTCCATTCTTCTTCTTCTTCTTCTTCTTCTTCTTCTTCTTCTTCCAGTACTACTACTGCTACCACTACTATTATTACATCATATGAGAGCTTTCATTCAACTGTTTTTCTTTATATCATATTCTTTCTTTATTTTTCTTCTTCTTCTTCTTCTTCTTCTTCTTCTATTACTACTACTACTATTACAACTATTGCCACTATTACTACTACTACTACCTACTGCTGCTAGCAATACTACTATTACATCATATGAGAGCTTTCATTCAACTGTTTTTCTTTACATCATTTCCTTGCTTTTTCTTTCTCTAAAATGTCGTGTCTTCTTTTGTAATTCATGATAATTTTTCATTTCATTATCTTTTCTTTCTCATCAAAGTCATTCTTTTTTTTTTATTTTTCCAAATTATTCTTCTGTTTTCTTCTCTTCATTCTAATCTTCGGCGTCGATTTTAATTTACCCCTTCATCTTCATTCCTCTTTTAAATCGTTCTCTTTCTTTTTTCTCCTCTTCATTCTTCTTTCCTTCTTTTAATCATGTTTTCTTTCTTTCCTCCTTTTCTCTCTCTTCCACTCTAATTTTTTTTTATTCCTGAAGGTCACGTTTTTCCAATTGTATAAGCTAAAATTTGTTTCCCCGCTTCTAAAAAGATGAAATGCTACAGAGCAAAGTGAAACCCAGAAACACCTGTAGACAGGCCATCGGGCAGGACAGGAAAAAAAGGTTTTTTAATCATTGTTAGCATCAGGCGCCATTTGAGGCAGACACACTTCCATGTATAAATCGTAATGGCGATACAACTAGTCACCATGAACTTCTCAACGAAGGTTTTTTCTACGCGAAATGCACATCACAGTGTACCGATGGCGATGAAAAGTATTTGTATAAGAGCAGCGTTCGACAAAAGAGATTTTTTTTATAGACTATTTTTATGATCTAACGTTTTTTTTTAGACAAGTCTCCATCTTTGCTGCTTATATCCCAATGTCTATGGGATAATTTGGAAAATGTCAATATGTTTCGCTGATGGTTGCGTCAGAATGAAGATACGAAGATATAGAAATATCTCTTATTCGCAAAATACCCGGAATTTTGAAATAAACTCTTTAAATAATCCACGCATTTATTCAGTTCTTGCTACTATTATCCAGTCCCAGCTGGTCGAGAAGAAATTACGTCGTAACCATCATGATGACACTGCTCACACTCTCCGTCCAGTTGCCGACGATTTTACATCTCAATGTTTTCTTATCTTTCCAACAGTGACGTTTTCATATAACCAGTTGCCACAATTCACGTCTAAAACTGTTGGCGATCAGAGATTGTCAGCTGAGCTAACTTCCGATCTAACACTAATTACCCAGTGAGAAAAGAAAAATGGTGGTTACATTCAATGTCGCGAAACCCAAATTCAGTCACCGCCGATCAGACCCAAAACTACCACCAGTCATGATGAACAGATGTCACCTCGGTGAGGCACCGTGCCTTGAGAGAATATTGGGCCTCAAACTCAAACCCGACCTCGAGTTTGTGGAACTCCTTTCCGGCACCATGCTTTCAGGCTAACTTTAATCTGCCAAAATTAAATCCAATGTCAATCGCTATCTACTGTTCTTCTGATTACTTTTTTTTCTCTTTCCGCTCATTATTTGTTGTGGTAGGATCCACCTAATTTGCATAGTGGAGTACCGACCATATAAATATGGTTGGTACCGGGAAGAGAGAGAGGAATCAAGAGATTCAACCCGAGACTCTGCTCGACTGCGACTCAGTCAACACATTCTCCAGGAACGGTCTTACCAGGAATATACAAAAGACTATATGTAAATATTGTGTACACTTTCTTGTTTCAATACATTTTGTTCTAAGTACATTTTGTGTTGCATTATTATTCCATGCATTAGTCAAGTTTCAACATTATTAATGTTTCTGTTCCTAATTCTTTCACACCCTGTAACCCCTTTTGTCTTGGTAAGTTATATATCGTTATCCAATATATAAGCGAAGTGTTGTATAGTTTGTGAACTTTGTGTAACTATACAACATTTTGCTTTTGTTTATCATCACTTGCCTTGATAAAGTTTAATGACAAAACAGATCGGCAAGGATCAATTACTCTTTTCCGATTGTCTCTTTTATTCAATTTGTCTTCTCTAAAGATATATTCTGAAAACTTTAACACACACACACATACACACACACACGCATATATATATATATATATATATATATATATATATATATATAGAAAAAGTTTCAAATTAAAAATTATAATGTTTTATTTTATGAAAGTATTTATTTATTTTTCATCAGAAATAACTTTGTTACAAATAAATTAAAATTACTGTTTGTTAGCAAGTAGCGTCCTTCGCGAGACGCGGACGTCACGTGATATGGAACGTCACTGTTCGGACAATTTGAAATATCAAATATATATATAAATAAATAAATACTTTCATAAAATAAAACATTATAATTTTTAATTTGAAACTTTTTCTATATATACATATTAAGAAAGTATACGTGGCTTCTCATTATGCTATATATATATATATATATATATATATATATATATATTAATAAATATGCATATTATCCCTCACCGGTAACACGACTGAGGGATAATATGTATATTTATTAATATATACTTCATAGCTCTGTTATATTACACACACACTCACACACACACACACACACACACACACACACACACACACACACACACACACTTGACGACGAAAACCCTTAGCAGCTGACCTATCTTTGATCAAACTGGCTGGTTACATTCAATGCCTCGAAACGCAAAATAATTACATTCCATCACCGCCGAACTGACACCGAACTACCACCAGACATGATGAACGGATGTCACTTCGGGGAGGCAACCCGTACCTTGAGAGAATATTGGGCCTCAAACTTACACCAGACAGTGAAACTTTTATATACGATCCATCGTTTAAGATGCTGGTAAAACGTGCGGTTCCCTGTACCGCTCCAGTCAAAACCCGACTCCCCATATTAATCCTCTACCCTTATAAGAGCCGGACCAGGCCCAAAATGGTGTACTGTCGTCATTTTTAAACGAGAGCTGCTCGGACGAATTGCATCCCTTGGTTCCACCAGGTCTAACTTACACGGCTAGCACCAGATACACCAATTACATTTCCTCCGTATTCTATCACCAAGAAGTAAGTTCCACTCAAGCAGCCTCTTTCCGTTAACCACTCCCAAGAGGATGTTTCCCTAATCACTATAATCTTAACCTGTTCAAATCTAGAGTCAACCGTTATCTTCACCTCCTATCGTTATAAAACTATCCCTCAATATAAACTGTTACCCCCAGTAGCCCCCGGGCCTTATATAGGGTGAAACTTACGGTAAAATATACTACTTACATAAACGAGCTCTAAACAGATTATATTAAGGTGGGGACAACTTAGACCCAAAAGACAAAACACCAGCCTGTATCTATCGAATTTGTGAGTTCAGTCTCTAAGCCATGTAGCGGGAAAGCAACGTTGTTCAGTGGTGCGGTTGTTCTGCATTTACGAAAGAATATATGACCTGACTTAGAGAGTGAACTCACAAATTCGATAGATACAGGCTGGCTATTATCAATCCGTCAATCAGTTAATCGGTTCAATCAATAATCCGGCACTAATTACCGTGAGTCACAGCAGCGACCTGGCATTAGAGTTTGGTGATGCTCCTTGCTGCTTCAGATGTTTTTGAACACTTTCAAACACTGGAAAAATCGTTTCTAGTTTTGTTTCTGCTGTCTATCCGCATGTATCCAAGAAATGATGTTTCTCGGGAACTGAAGAGAAAAAGCCATATGTTGTCCATCAAAGATAAGAAAGAATTTCTGAAAAAAATATCTCTTCTTTTTCCTTTATAAGCCAACATGCAGCGATTTGTGAGTGTTATCAAGTGGTTAGAACGTTCCCTTTCTAACCATGAGACCCGGGTTCAAATATCTTCATGGTCGATTTGTCAGGAAGGCGACTTCTTGATTTTAGGTGATCCTAGCGTGTGGCAGCTTTGGAAACTTTCTGAAAACCGGGTTGACCCGAGCCTTGTGATTGAAATTAGGTAGATGGAACTATTTCGGAGCTGTTGATGGTTGTGCTAGCATGAAGTCACAAGTCATCGTGACCGAGGGTTTGAACGTGCTGGCCTTCTTCAGACTGTTGATCAAGCCAAATAATGCTTTCTCTCTCTCTCTCTCTCTCTCTCTCTCTCTCTCTCTCTCTCTCTCTCTCTCTCAGGACTGTAATTAAGGTCCTCTCAGCATAGTTGCAGTATAAACCACAGGTGGGCTCTGTGTATGTTAAACAGACACGAGGTTGTCTAGCCGCCCTAGTAGACAGGCATACATGGAAAAATTGGACAGCCGCCACTACTACTACTACTACTATATATTTATATATATATATATATATATATATATATTAAAGGCGCGGTGAAATGATTAGCTGTTAAATGTAAGCATCCGTAAAATATATCCGACATTCTACCAGTGTTATTGATTCCGGATTATTGAAGGTCAGCCTGTAATGTGTGCTATTTGACTAAGGAAAAAAATATTCCGAACATGTTTATAATAAACGATATTAAAGTTCTAATTTGAAGTTGATATTTCTCTCTCAAACTTAGAGATTAATTCTCCCGTCTTTAACATCACTGTTATTCGGCCGACGAGTTATCTGGCCTTATTTTTCTTGCTTTCATTTCTAAACGGAATCCAACCATTTATTTCAAGCACGTTTCTGAATGAGTGTCATCGTCTTCGCTATTTCTATCAAAATGATTTGGCCAGGCAATTTGAAAACCTTTTCTCATGTTAGACTCACTTTTGATTCCATGATTTCCATCCAACATATATCTTCAAAAATGTGAATACAATGCCAGTCGTTATCTCCTGTTTTTTTCATTCCTATACTTTTATTGTTCTCGCTTCTTAATAATGTATTTCTTTTTTCTTAAACATTCACATTCAGTAACTCCCTGGTGTCTTGGTGGCTTTATTTCTTTTGTTTGCGGTGAAATGATTAAAACAATAAGTTCAAATATTACTGCAGTTCTCAATTATCCGTACCTCGGTTTTCCGGACTTCAATTGTCCGGACGTGGAATGAAAAGAAAAACTGAAATCATCCGAACATTTTTCAGTTGTACAAACTAAATCTATTCTAATCGTCGTCCTGGACGCCCGCATCCGACTTTTACAGCTTCGACAAGACATGCTGTTTTACAGAGTCAAATCACCCACATATCCTCTGTTGTTAAAAGACGCTCAATCTGGAGGCATTTAAAGCTAGCTCTTGTGGAGGGCTCTTGATTCTGCTTTCACTAAAATTGGTAGGGAGAAGTAGATGCGATAGGCAGCAATAAATTACAGAAGAATCCAAAATTGATCGCTGCATTTAGGTATTGCTTTAATATTTAAGCTTACCTTTTAAAAGTTCGACAATCATTCTTCTGCCGAAACTTGATTTAAAGAAAATTTGATGTACGTAGGTCCTTACTTTCTGTAAAAACAATTATCTTTATTTCATGTGTACTTCCGCTGTATTTCGCAATTAATTTCGATTATTCCCAAATTTATTTCCAATTTATTAAAATTGTTATCGTACAAAAATTTGTCGCAAATATCACGTAAAAATCGTCCCCCCTCCCAAATCGCAGTAATAAATCCAAAGTTTCAGCGGGTCCTGATCAGACCCGGAAAGCTTTTTATTTGCTCACAGAGTCGGCCTGATTCCAAATTAGTATGATATGTTGGACTACAGTCTCTATGAGTAATGTTGAAAACACGGACAATTGTATTTTAAAACACTGTAATTTGAGAACAGTAATTTTTTCATTTGAACATGAGCTATTGAAAGTTAGAGAGTTGTGTCCCTTTAATTGCTTTTATCAGAAGAAGCCAAATGGCGGAATCGGAAAACAATCGCAGTGAGGAAAATTTGGGAATCCAAAATTTCAGGATTGTGGTTTCGGGTCCGGGTCCGAGCACGTGTTCATGACGGAATGTTTTTAATTTGCTCACAGAGTCGAACTGATTCCAAAATAGTATGATATTTTGTACTACGGTCTTTAGTCGCAAAGGTGAAAAAGTGTGGCACAGTGACACAATGATATTCGCATTTATTATATAGATATGAGGAGAAATTCCACTGAAACAGCATTTTACCAGAAGATTGCTACTTGGTGGAACATACTTCCCCTTGGATACCTCCCTGCACACTAAAATTTAAACATCTTCAAGTCAAAGTCACTCTTTATCTATCCTCATAATCTTCACTATATACCACTTCCTCTCACAATACTTATTCCTTATGACTGGTAACTTATTGCTCAACTTAACGTCCATATTGTCTCATTTTGATCTTGCCGTTGTGACCTCCATCTTCTGGTTTTCTCCTTTCAGATTTTGGATAGGAGTTATTCCCTTGTTCAAATTTAAAATTAATTTAAGGGCCCCCATTCACCAAAATGAAATATTATTATCCAAGTACCCTGGGTAATGTAGTTACAGAATATATATGGTTATGGGGTCTATCTCCAAAAGCTTAGGAAGAGTTCGATAAAAAACAAACAGGCATACACAGGCTACAACTTTATACATATATATATATATATATATATATATATATATATATATTCTTTCAGACGACTAATTCTTCAGGATTCTTCCCCATCCAATATTTTCCCTTCATTTCACAGGGGCTGATACCCACACTTTTCCCTCCATACATGATCATCCATGCCTGATTTCATCATCTCCTCTCTCACTACGTCTCTTCGATGTTCTTTCAACCTTACTTTTAGGTGGCGGCTTGTTTTACCTTTATATTCGCTGCCACAACTGAAAGGGATCGTGTATACGCAATTCTTGGTTATATTCACCCCCGTATTAGGCTTTACTCAGCAGAGATTCTTTCTTAGACTGGAACTGTTTCTGGATCTTTTCCTATAATCCCTTGAATAGTAGTCCGTGGCAATTTTTACCCCCTCCACCTTGTCCATTCTGTTCCCACCTCCTGACGCTGGTGTCACATTTGCTGTGAAGTTATTATTCTGAATATTCTCATACGTTTGATGCTTTTATAAAGTAATTGGGTACTTTTACAATATACAATTATATATATATATATATATATATATATATATATATATATATATATATATATATACAAGGTCCGATTTATTTATTAAAGACATTTTATGTTTAACGTTGTTATTTATAGATACAAGTATTTAAGCAAATGCTCTGTTTATGATAAACAGTATTAAATAACATTTACCGGCCTGAATGTCCGAGAAATTTTCATAGAAAAATCCGTATAGGATGCAGGTTCGAATCCTGTCAAAGGACGAATATTTTCTATGAAAATTTCTCGGACATTCAGGCCGGTAAATGTTATTTAATACTGTTTATCATAAACAGAGCATTTGCTTAAATACTTGTATCTATAAATAACAACGTTAAACATAAAAATGTCTTTAATAAATATATATATATATATATATATATATATATATATATGTGTGTGTGTGTGTGTGTGTGTGTGTGAAAATATATAGAAAATAGGAAAGAACTCGTTAGGTAAATAATCCAAATTTCTTTAATATTTTTGTTATTATTTTTAAAAAACAGTGCTCGATACAAAAGTAGAGCCTAAATATAATTATTTTTTTAAAATATGAATAAATATATATATATATATATATATATATATATATATATATATATATATATTTGTGTGTGTGTGTGTGTGTGTAGATAATACTATTATCACTTTAATCTTGCTATATGACTGCGAAACCTGCACTCTATCGTCGCAACTTTCAAAACTTAGAACAATTTGAGCCAGCCAAAGCTTCGTTCCATCTTGAACATCAAATAGGAATAATCTGTGGCCAACAACAAAATCATGGAAAGAGTCAACAGCCAATGCATCTAATCGTTGATCATGAAACACCGTCTTCGAAGCTCAGGACATGTAGCAAGAATGGGAGAGTCAAGGTTTTCACATCAAATCTTATTTCATGGGCTCACTTCAGGTAAACGACCATAGGGTTTTCATCTTCGAAGATACAAGGACCAACTCAAAACAATACTGAAAGCCTCTGGACTTCAGCCTAAATCGTTTGAAACACAAGCTTTATTTTTTGTGTGTAACTAAAACGATTTTCAGCTGATTCCTAAAGAATCGTTTTTCATAGCATACGATAGAAGAGGAATTGTATTATTCCTTCCCGACTCTCTTTAAATCTAATCTTTAGACGCGAATAACTTGAAAATAAACAGTCGACTAAAAGCAAAGAGCAAGCGTGGGAATATTTGTGAAGGTAGAGAGCAATAAATTAATTGCTTTGGAAAATAAAAACAACATGATTAAATCACACTACAGCTGATGATAGTGAATTACCCTCAGTAAAATTTATGATGCAAAGTAGAAATGACAGTAGCAGATTTTGCGGTTGGAAAACGCGCTTAAGATCACTATCGCCTGGCACCCAAATACAAGCCATTGATACAAAATTCAGCGATCAAGATCAAGATTTCTTTAATTCATTTCAGATTTTGAAATCCAAAGATTAACTATGTGCGTGATTATATTACAAACACACACAAAGTCGATGTTTTTCCTGTAATATTTTCCAGGTTTATTTTCAAAGATGGACGATTACATGGACTCTTCTGTTGTGAGCGTGGACTGTATATGGATAAAAATTTATTGAAGCCACAATTAATTGGAAAATATTAATAGTAAATACAAGATATTGACTGTTTGTAAATAATTGATTAGTATATAAATAATTGATTAGTATATAAATAATAGTAAATAAATAATTGATTAGTATTCATAAATATTGGCATAGAATACAGGTCATTCACAGTTTTATGAATTGTAGTTGATTAGCATATAAATAATAGTATATAAAATTATGTCTTGGTTAATCAACAACGACTGTGTAATACATTCCTCACTGGTTGCCACATACATTTGGACTACATCCAAGCTACGCATAGAAAATCATGGGATGTATGATTGATTTATTATATTATAAAGTCCCACCTTAATTTCGTCCAGTTAACTGATGTTTCTCCCACTGATTTAGAAATTGGGAATGGAGGTAATTACGAACATTATTTTTTTTTTAGTTTCTTGTAAATAGTTTTATTTTCATATTTTAAATACTCTTAGGGGATAGTTTTTTAAATTGATGTTTTATTCCTCTTCCCCCACAGACTGTGAATTG